ATCAATCAATCAATCAATCAATCAATCAATCAATCAATAAATAAATAAATAAATAAATAATAAATAAATAAATAAATAAATAAATAAATAAATAAATCAATCAATCAATCAGAAATTGTGCCGATTACAGGAGTATATACCGCAGGAGCATACACAAAAGAATTTACAAAAGCCGAAACTCGGCTACAGAACTTCCAGGTAATCGCTGCAATCGTGGTGATGATTGTGGCGATAAATACACCCACCGTGGAGGTTCGCATGTGGCTGTGGCGTTCGTATTTTGAGCACGAAATCGTGGCTTCGATCACCGGACGTGGCAGCCGCGTAACGATGTGAGCGAAATGCAGAAAAAAAAAATCCTCGTGTGTCATCCATAGCGTGGAGTGCACATTAAGTTAACTCTAGATGAATAAAATTGATTGAGAGTCCTCTATAATGAGGTACTTCATAATCAGCTGTATATTTTTCGAGACGGTATACAATACCATTAAACATTTTGGATGCTAATTCACATGAATTTACTATGGCTGAATGGCGTGAGTGACTTTTTGTAATGTCTCCGAGGCTCGTCACCACGTAAGCAATGAACTGGATTTCCACAATGTAACGAATAACCATATAATTTTATTTCCAGGCTAACATAGACGCACCTGAAACAACGTCTGTTGATATCATGAATGCTGAATATATTCCCAACTTTGTGAGCTGATGAGGCCATGAATAGTACAGAATTTAAACTGCAGTTCGGTGAAAACGTATTTTATTCCTTTTTAAAACAGTTCTTTTTTTATTGAAAAACGTTTTCTGGACAGATTGATTATGATTAGCATACTACTGGAAAACTTCTCCGGCATTTATGTTTCTCGAGTTAGTGCACCTGTGGTCACTCTTTTGATATCTATGCCACCCATTTTTCGAATTGTAATTATTTTTATTGCTATATTAATCTTCGTCTGTTTGTTGTATATCGACGTGGTCGGGTCCAGGCAGAATAATGGTTTCACTTTTCAGAGCCACTCTTCTTTTCATTTCTTTTCACTAGGGATGGTACATTACGTGTAGAAAATTGAACAACAAATATCCCCAATTTATCATGCCAACGTAGCTGTCCTCTTATAAAACAAATATGAATGTGGACCTTGACGTAGGCAAGTCTCAAGCTCGTGCTGGTCATTCACGGCTGACCATACGACGTACTATGTTGACGCTGCTTTTAGCTTGCGATCCCGCAACACGCAACTACGAAGGGGCCGGGGCAGTGTGTCTCATAGCTCTCGGAATCGACAAGAAACCATTACAAAGGACAAGAATGCCAGAACGTGGCATTCTGTCGCTGCACCTTTTGCGCACAGTCACTACCATGATGCCGGTGTACTAATCTACCATGCACGGGCACTTTCACGACGCAGAGATGCCAGCTGGCATTGCCTTGCGAACAACAGTACGAGCAAAGCGGCGTTCAGAGCATGTGGCAATTGCATTAACAGCGAATCAGTTCGCATGAGTCATGCTTGCTCATAACGGAGCGCGTTCCTCCAGCATACCCCTCCTTCTCCCTCTCCTTGTTCCATCAAACCCAAGCGCGCTTCAGCTTCCGTACCTACATGTGACTGCTGTTAGCTGGCGGTCCACACAAAACTCTTTAACGCTTCCACACAACTGAACCCGAGACCACAGCGGGGGGCATGCAGCTGGACTCGGACAGCGAATGTAAAAGCCATCGAAAGAAAAAAAAAATGTCGGTTCAAACTTTAATGACCCGGTAAGTGCTACACAACCAACGGATATGCATACAGTTGCGTTTTCTCGTGCCATATACAGCGCGTAAGCCCATTGATTGCAGCACGAGGGATCACAACATTTAGATATTTGTTGTCACATTGGCACATGCACATAAATATATTAGTCGAATTCCTTTCCCGTGTGTCGTGTACAACTGACCCTTAGCCGTTCTGGGGGATTAGCCAAGAACGAATGCAGACATGGTTTAACACACATAACGGCTAAGTCATGAAACATTGCGTAAAAGAAGCCACCGGTCTCTTAAAGTTCCGGATCGGTATACTTTGAAGATCCAGTAAGGCAATATAATGTGCCAATGCTTTCGGGGGCGAAGCAAATTTTTTGTTGTTATTAGGCCAAACATAGATCCCTTTATTCGCACTACTTTGGCAGTAAACACTTATAATTTATATCAGCCCTTTTGAAAGCCTTCGCGTTCATATAGTTGGCGTATCTTGAGCAAGAAGAAAATAAAGCGTCACTTTAAATGTGTAATAAGGAGAAGAACAATGTTTCTGCTTTCCCTGAATTATTCTTTCACAACACTAAAATTGCGTCGCTTATCATGGAAAGACGCCCAGTTAACTGGAAAAGGAAAAAAAAATGCAGCCTTCGACTCCAGTTTGAAGTTCTCCCACCAACTCATTGTCATAAATTTTCCCGGTGTTTGCTAGAGCCCACACAGTTTTTAATCAATAAAAATGAAGTTAATTGCCCTCTAAATGGGCCACAGAGATAATGCATGAAGTTTAAGTAAATTTCGCTCAGATACTATGTCTAAAACACAAAGGGAATAAAATAATTTAAAGTTTGTGACATCACGCTGTTGCCTGAGAATGTCGGAGCAAAACTTAAAAAAAAAACTAATATCTAATCTTCATTTTCTCTTATAACAGTAAACGTGCGATGGTGAAACGAACGACAATGTGTAATGTCTTCAACGAGTAATTTAGCAGTCTAAAATTATTCATTGCTTCGCTTTAGTGTCCCTCGAAGTAGCAAAGTGTACCTCTGCCGCAGTACGTTGTTACATCGCGGAGAAGCCTGTTTCACGGCGAAGCGGTGCAATTGAAAAAAGTCTCAGCCAGTAAGCGCGTGCCTCGTGCACAGTCGTTTCGCAAATATCGCTCAGGGCGTAAGCGCTGCTGTAAATTACATATGAGTGTAGCGTAAATGAAGATGATAGAATGATTTGATTGTAACATATGTTGAACATTCAGAACAAATAAGTCGGGGTCGAAGCACGAGAGTGATGAAGAGGGAAATGGGAGCCTCGAGTAATCGAAGCAGTTGTTGCGATGTTCACGATCGAAAGGAAACTTGGAATTTGCCATGCGATCACCTGATTTCTACCCACTTTCAGAAAATTAAGTATTTGGTAACGTATGGTTTCCGTCCGTAATTCCATAAAACCGCAAACCGTAGCCATAAAACCGCAACGTAGCCATAAAACCGCAACACAATTTTCTTTCTGTCTTTTTTGCCTCATAAGAGGGTAGCATTAACATGAGCGTTATATTAACTTTAATTTGCAGGTGCATAAAATGATAAAATGTTTATACAGGAGTACAGGTGAAATTATCGCGATGGTAGCGTACGTGATGCACCTCTTGTGATTTTCCTTGGAAATCGCCACATGCTCCAAGACGCTCCAGGGGTAGGCCACATTTGTGCGCGAAATATCGACAAAGCAAATGACATTTTCAGAAGAAACGATGTTTATCATGCGAAAAAAATATATTGTTAGTGCAGTTACGTCACACGAAATTTCGCGATACCTTTCGTTATTGAAATGCAAAGTTTTGGCAACTATGCTGTCAACAAATGCTAACAAGCAAAACATAAGGTTAAGGTAGTTGGTCTATATTTGTGATGCTGAACAAAATGGAAAGAAAGAACAAACATGTCAAGAAACACTATAAGCATACTTAAGCGCAATATCGTAGAACCATCTCTTGATATTGAAACTCGTTCTTGTATAAAGATACCGCGTGAACACTTGCACATTGGTCGCTCTACTGATTGATACAAAATGCTTTAACTATCTCTACTACCATCCTATCACGGCCTCTTCCGACAACTCAAACAAAGCTCTTCGTTTGTGTTTGTGTGTTTTTCATGGCGTCTCAAACATTGACATCAGTGTTAATGACTTCAGCTCGAAGGCACACTCGAGTCTCTACCAGCATTGTTGATGCTGATTGCGGAGCTGTAGTCGGTAGAGTAGATTCTTCGTGCTAAAAATTTTAAATGTACCGTTTTCAAAACCCTTCAGAACTACAGTTACATAGAAAAAGTAATCGGTTAACTTGAATAGTTTTATGTGACGAGATGTACGAGGTTTACGGTAGCGGGTCTGTAGATAAACCTTTGATAAGACAGGGTGTTGCATAGATTCTTGTGGCACATGTGTTTGCCCTACGTAATTTTTTTGCTCAAGATTACATAACTTATACCAACTCGTAATGACCGAAGAAAGACATATATCTGGTAAATGGTTATCGACAAAACGTTCAACCGAAACGATCGGTGTATTGTGTTTCGAAGAGACTCATAAGAAAGAACCCCCTAGTGTTTACACTTGTTGCCATGAGTCTCGTGAGAGAATGAGACAAGGATGATAGCTGAAGGAATAAGCATTCGAAACATTTAGAACTTTTCGAACCCTTAACTGTCGTCCTTGTCTCAATCTTGCGCTGTAGTCATGACACTGGTCCCCCAGTGATCGGCACTTCCAACGTTGCCAGTTACTTCGTTAAGCACCCAGCCTCACTATTGTATCATCAGCCCTATTTCATGCCTACCTGAAAGTTCAGTAGAAGTGTGATCCTCTGATAACTTGCAACAGGGCGTATTCCCTTCTAATTTCAGCGGTATCGAAACGCGTTGAAATTAAGAGGGAGTTAAGCCCAGCATCAATTCAACCTGAGTAGAGAAATACTTTTCCTGACAAACCTCGCCTCCCTCGTTCACTGAAGAAGCTAGTTCCATCAAACGTCCTGTAAAGAGGAACTCGGTAGACCAACAAGGGCACAAAATCATGGCAACACTTCCGCGCAGGCTAGTGGGGCTTCTACTTGAAGAGTATTTTTTTCAAAAGGTTCAATTTTTTTTTATAATTTGCATCAGAACTAAACAAAGATATGCCGCGGTAAAATGCCTCTGCACCCCTCGAGCAGTGGCTGTCACGATGCGGCGACAGATATTCGGAAGCCCACCTTGCTTGGTGCCAGCATGGCTGCGGACGATGAAGAAGGTTCCAGGTACTGTAGCCTCTCCGGCGGCTGGTCAACGCACTGCTTGGTGGAGTTGGGCTCTCGACGAACAGTGTGGTGTGCGCCTGGACGGTGGGCCAGGGTCGGATCCGGCCCACTCTCTCCGGCAATCGAGCCGCCGCTGCGAGGCGAGAAGAGGGGGCGGGCCGCTGACCCCTTTAATCTGGACTCCGCTCACTCGAATCGGGGACCCCGGTGGGCTCAACCCTCCTCCTCGCACTGCGAGCTGCTATACACACCAACTCAACTGTACACACGCGCTCCGTTCCATGTCAGCTGCGGGACGGAGCGTCGCTAGAGGGGGGAGGAGGAGGCACAGCGAAACTTGGTTGTTTCGCTTTGCGCTGTGCGTGCGCGTGTTCCGGAGCAGCCGTTGCGAAGTGAACGTCCGCGGCAAGTAAACGAGAACGTGTGAAGCCGGTGGCGATCCCTGTGAGAAATGCAGGGAAATCAGCGGGATGCTTGCGGTGGCTGAGGCACTAGTATTCCTGGTAGTTTGGCGCAAGTTGCGGAGCACGTACTCCGAGTCTCACGAGCGTATCCGCAAAGATTTCACTACAGAATAAAAAAAAAGCGAAGGAAACACGCTCTAGCCTATCCCGGCGAAGCTTGTCGACTCAGCCCCAGCTTTATTTCATGTTGCGACTTTGCCTTCCTATACTCGCATAGAACTTTTAAAGTCCGCGACATTTTCTCCTCAAAAGGCGGATGCAAACAAGCTTGCACCAATCATCGGCACACACTCTGTACTGACGTGATTGGTCACTCTCCACCTTCGTATATAGAACACTGCCAAGTGCATGAGCGGGACTATTTCCTCAGTCGCGGAGGTGATCGGCTGCCGCGCTACGGTCACCCTGGCAGGGCCTTTCGGATTTCTTAGGTTTTACCATACCAGCAGGCCCGTAGCCAGGAATTTGTTTCAGGGGAACGGGGGGGAGGAGGCACCTGTTGAAATCCTCGAAGAACACATATTTTTGTTTATTTATGTTCTGAATAAAACACACACTTCCGCCGGAATTTTGATGTGGGGGAGGGCACCTTAGGTTGCCCTCTCCCCCTGGTCAAGGGCCTGCAGAACACACACTGGAGCATTTAGCCCTGAGCCAGACCCTCAGTAATTAAGAGTGGTTGTAGAGAATCATCCCTTACGGAAAACCAGTAGTTGGAAGCATAGCCTACCAGCACCCTTCGCCGTCCAAAATACCTCAAACGCACCCCCCTCTTTTCCCCTTCAATATCTCGCCTTTATTGCTTTCTACTCCCACCCTCTCCACCTTCATGGATTTGGTAGGCCAACATTTTAAATTTCATCCCACAAGAAGTTGGCCTAGCTTACAAATTAAACTATTGTCTATAGTCGAACACAACTTGTCGCGATATTTTGTCTTCAGGGACTGATGCACACAAGCTTGGACCAGTGAACGGGCCTCCAGACGGACAACTCGAGCAGAGTGACAAGTGACCCAGCCTTCGGAGAGCATTGCCAAGTGAAGTGCATTTGCGAAACTATTTCTCTAGTTGCGGAAGCGATCGGCTGTCGCGTTTCGGTCACTCGGGTGCTTTCTCTCCGGACTTCGTTAGTTGTATTCGTCTATATTGTCACGTAGTCGTGACGTCGACGAAGGCAGCAGTCGGCGTGTCAAAGAAGAAACCCTTCATTTGACCGAACTTATGGACGGGAAACAGAAGGTCAGATTACAGTGATACACACATGGCGCTACGTACGTTCTTTAGCTATTCGATATGAGTTGGGTTTTTTGCGCTCCCTTTTTTGTTGCTGACCACCTGTTCACTGTATGGTCTAGTGGCTAAGGTACTCGCCTGCTGATCCGCAGGTCGCGGGATCGAATCCCGGCTGCGGAGGTTGCATTTCCGATGGAAGTGGAAATGTTGTAGGCCGGTGTGCTCAGATTTGGGTGCACGTTAAAGAACCCCAGGTGGCCGAAAATTCCGGAGCCCTCCACTACGGCGGCTCTCATAATCATATGATGGTTTTCGGACGTTAAACCCCACATATAAATCACTGTATTTCCTATTTAGACTTTTTGTAACTATTATCAACCGAGGGTCCCGCTGCAGTCTCTCGTTTGTATATTTTTTGTAAGCGCATTTTATTCTGGAGGAATAATAAATCACTGACTGATAGTGACTCCCAGAGCATCGGCCATCGATCAACTTCCAAATTAATGGCACGCTACAGTATTCTTAATATTAGAAACTGTTACAGAGAAAAGATCTGCATGAGACTATTTTAGAAGTCTCTACAAACTTTGAGGCTTTTTCAAACCGGTACCTCAGTCGAGACAAAGGAAACAGTTTACGCCGCACATCAACGGTAACTAAGAAACCCAGGACAAACTATGGCATGCAAACCATGCAGTACAATACTATGTGTTTATGCAATATGTATCCTACCGTTGTTGAAGTAGCCAGAAATCGTAAAACGATTCAAGAATTTAAACATTTAATAATGAACATGTATCTTTAGTCGGATGCAGAAGTGTTGTACAATATTTAAGGTAACTTTCACTACACAAATGATAATAATATTCGGTGATTGTATCGTAATGTTCTTAAATGTTAATGTTATTATTATAACTAATTACCACACTATTTATGTTTGTTGCTTTTGTTGCATTAGTGCTTATGCTCTTACTGTGATTACACCATTACTTTAAGTTCACTACTCTCGTTACGTTTATGCTTACTATAACATGATTATGTCCTTGTTGATTCAGAATTTTTAAAGTTGAATTGTTTTCAAATCCGTTGCTTCTGCTCCCCAGTGTGGTAGGGCCTGGTAAAGAGGTTTGGATCCTCCTTTTGCCTTACGCCGCGGGCAAACCATGTATACGTGTTATGCCAAAATAAATAAATAATTTTGCAACAAGGTTGTGAGGCGACTAGGTGAAAGAGCTGCGTTGAGCAGCGTTTGCGGAGAGCTCCTTGATTCCTAACCAGCATGGATTTATCTCTCTCTTTCTCTTTCTGGTCGTTGCATTGCCGCAAATCTCGAAAGTTAGGGGCACATATCTGCGCAGCATCGGCGTTCAATAAAGGGCAATATGACTCCATTTGCTATGACATCAACTGAGCACCTGAGGTACTCAGTAACTCCTTGATTAAGGTGAAGCTTGCGCCTGCTGGTGTTGACTCTCTTGTTGCCAATCTATCCCGCTCGTACTGTGATTTCCTCCGGAAATCATTTTATAACGCTAATGGCCAAGTTTCTTTTTTGCACACATGCAAGACAACTCGCAGCGCCCATTACTGTCAGAAATGGAGAAACTCTATGAAAACTTTTCCTTGTGATGGTGTTTCTTACGACATTCTCAATTCTTCTTCATGTCGATGGTATGAATGTCTTGGGCAAACGTCATACTGTTCATGACTCTCGTATCCTGCAGTTTAACGTGCTGTCTTGAACAACCACCACCACCACTAACCAAACACTTTACTTCGTTTTCAGATGGACTCCACCGATGGGAGGTTACAGCGTTCACGAGCAGTGACCGCATCCTGCACCTTTCGGATCGGAATGGCTCACAGCTCTTTTTCTGTCAACCGTATAGTAGCGAGGAGACATTAAAGCACATATTCTTCGACTGCCATCGCTACAATGTGCTGACAATCTCTCGCGGTCACTCTAGCTCGTCTTGACAACAACCGATGGCGGAAGTAGCCATTTTAGAATGTCTTTCTGAGCAGTGATCGAGGAAGACGACGAGGATTTTGATCAAATTCTTGAAGGCAACAAACTTGCACCGGCGGTTGGTGGTTATAAACCAGTAATGATATCGTGACGTCGAAGTGTGTGTGTGTGTGTGCGTGTGTGTGTGTGTGTGTGTGTGTGTGTGTGTTTCTTTCTACCTCTAACCTTCACACTACCCCATACATTTCCTCAGAGTAGGGTAGCATACCAGTTATTCTAGACTGGTTAACATGCCAGCCTTTCCCCTCTCTCCTGTTCCTTCTTTCCTTATGAATAATGCATTTGTGATAATTCTGTCTTCAACGCTGCTAATGCGAGGGTTGCGACTTTCTGTCGTAGGACAGAGAATTTATTTTGTTTTTTTAGTCTGCAGATTCTGTGCCATTCTGTAAAGACTCCTGAATTGTTTATCTTTTTTTATTGATATGATATATAAGGAGATGTTGGCGCATAAGTATGGCGCCGGCTACTCTTTAGTTATTGAGTGAAGGTTGAACACTTATCTCAAAGAGAAACATACAAAGCAGTGCATGGAAAATAGAACGCTCGAGCACACATATGCAAAAACACTCTTATACACACATGTCTCTATACAATGATAAGAAAATGTTCGAAAGTCAACGAATAAAGTCTCTGATAATGTCCCTCGTTAACATTCAATCCAACCAGCACAAAACAGCAGAGCAAACGTCTGGTCGATGTACTGTTCTCTGATACAATATTTCTGCTGGACTTAACTTGAAATATGGTGTTTGCGCTCTCTCGGCGGAGTTTGCAGGCTGCAGAGAAAACATATTTATCCAACAGTTTTCCGCCCCTAGTATGCGACAATCTCTTTACGTGAACTTGAGTTTGCGTCACTGCTCTAAAATAAATTTCTAAATTGAATATACTGAGTTAAGAAAAAAAAAATCTTTCTAAGCATATACAGTTCCTGATTTCCTAACACCAGCACTTGAGGCCCCGTTTCAGCCACGTGCTGTGGGACCACTTTATGAATACGACCCCTAAGGGCATATATAATTTGGAATAAAAATTTGATTTGTTTGATTTAAGAACTTAGCCTATCGCTGTTGGATAACTGTCACTACCATCTTTTTGTTGCCAATGTTATGATTTGTTTATTTTCAAATTACTTCATGGTATTCTTACGCGTACCGAACCTTTGAGTGACAATTTGTTTTGAATTCTACATAAGTTTCACCATAAAGCATAGACTGCTTTGTTTTTCTGCCGGCCACAGCCGGCACTCAGCTAGCTTCTTCCGGCAGTTTACACCAGCGGGTGACAGAGGCATTGACTTGAGCGGCTGTAAGTGTTTTGAATAGCGGGGGCAACCATGTTTGCAATTGTAGCTGACTCTGGGCTAAATTGCGTGACAGGTTAATTACCTTACAATTGCCTTATATGCGCCCTGCCATACTGGAATAGCGGCTTTCAGGTCATTGAAACAGAGAATGGGTTGTTTTTGCGCCGCAGTGTTTCGGTTTGATGTGTAATAATGACATTGGGCTTAGCGGGTCACACGAAGGAAAATTAAGAGCTGCACGGAGCCTGCATTTTTGTTTATATAATGTGCACGTACTGCATACTTTTTCCATCTAAGATT